CTCACCCCCCCAACCCCCTCGACACACACACTTACTTCTGCAGCAACAGGCAGCAGCATTGTGCAAGCAGAGTGAGTCCAAACCCTTGCCCTACCCCTTACTGATTCGGTGATTGTTCATAAATTACTGACTTAGCTGGGCCTTTGTTTCCCCTGCATAAAACAGATGATAATGCTTCCTAGTAGTATTCAGGATTCAATGAAATTAGGCACAGACCTGTGCCTGGCACACAGTAACCTTGGCATATTTTTATTAGTCTTTATACCTACAGCAGTACCTTAATTTAATCACTGGTGACTCCAAAGTCCCTTTCTTGAGTCATGGCTAACAACTAGGAACCATGAGATGTCTTTTAAACTCAGGGGATAATCTGTGGGCTTTCTTCTCATCTTAGAAAAAAGTAAATATATTATCTGCCTGAAAGACAGGGAGAGGGGGATGTCTGAACCAGAGGTTTCTTGAGGCCCTTATCCTATAAAAAGAATCTTAATGAAAAGCTATCTGCTTCTTTTCTGCTTGCCTATAAATTCTCAAGACATTATACTACAGGTTACTGTTTGATGTTTCACTACCCAACAGCAATTTTTCTCTTGCAAAAATAACCTGTTTTTTCCACCTAGCCATGAAGGACTTACCCTACCCCTCCACCCCAGGGTTCTGGTTTGCTTATTTATTAAAACAAATACATTTTATGAGGGAAAACAGCTTTAAAATAAAAGCAATTCTTCTCATTATAAAATATGTGCTTAATGTAGAAAACGAAAAAGAAGTACTGGGAAATAAAATCCCACCACTCATTGCTTAGTATTGAGATGTATTTCCTTTTAAAATATGGATCATCTTGTATGTAGAATATAGTTAGCATCACATCATGAACACTCTTCCAACTAAATATGCACTAATAACATGATTTACACTAGTTTCATAATCCATTGAGGACAAAAATTAACCAATCCCTAGTATTGGGAATTGAGTGATTTCCACATTTTTTACCATTATAAAGTGCTCCTATGAATATCCTTGCAAAATGCTCTTTGGGTGCATCTAATTACCTTCTTGGGATACATTTCTAGAGCAGAAATTACAAAGGGTAAAGGTAAGATCTGTTTGGCTACCTGCAAAAAGGACCTCACCGCTACTTTACACCCCTGGTGTTTGTGCTGCTAGGTTCAACTTACACTAGGGTTCACATTTATTTTCAAGCAATGTGGCGTCATGCCCCGGTAAACGCTTCAGCTCGACTGCACGCGCAATAAGGAACCCAGCGCCCGTATCCTGGATCGGTTTCGCGGGAAGGGAGCGGAACAAGTTCCCGGGCGGCGGCGCTGAAAGCCCGCCCGCTGCCCAGGCGGGCGAGTCCCGGTCCGCCAGCCGCCTCCCGCACAGGTGTCTACAACAGGGCCGCAGGTAAGACAGGGCGGGTGCGAGAAGCACCAAGAACGGGCCCGACGTCCACTCTTCACAGTCAGGCCCTCCCCCGCCAAGGGAAGGCTCCCTGAGTAGTAGCTCAAATCACCTCAGAACCGTTTCCAACACTTAGATGCTAAAGACCCCTCCCGTAACGCCAGTCCCCAGCCACGACGGTGGGCCCGCGGACTCAAGGCCACACCCACTTCCGGTCTCGGCGCCCCTCCCCCTCGGCCCGGTGCCTCACCTCAAGGACCACCTTGCGCATGCGCCCCAGCTCCTGGAGGTAGGCGACTGTGTGCGGGTGGTCGCGGTGAGTGTGCAAAGCCGCAGTGGCTGCGTGACAAGCCTGCGCTACCAATGCGCCCGCTGGCCAGGAGAACGGAGCCTGCGATAGATCCTTTCGTAACACCAAATATTGGACTAAGATCTGCGGCTGCGCTCCAGGTGCCGCCATCTTCCTGCCCAGTAGTAAGGCCTGGCCTATCCCCCGGTGCATGCCGGGATCAGGGAGGGGCCTTGAGCGCCGCCATGTCTTTGTATGGTGGCTGCGCAAAGCATGCTGGGTCCGATCGGCTTGGTTTTGAAGGAGGACGGCGGGAACTCGAGGACGGCGGGAACTCTAGTCCCAGGGCTGGGTGAGCCAGAGGAGAGAAGGTAAGGGGAAATGAGACTCCGTGAGGGACGGGACGGTGACCAGGGTGGGAGGCTAACCGGCCTCTTACAGCTCCTTCCGTGAGGAAGGCAGCACGGCTGGAACCGAGGGGCGGTGCCCTCGGGAGCGCGCTGGGCCCGCGAGGTGGACGCGGACGCCGCCGGCTCGCACTCGGGGAGAGCGCGGGTCAGGGAAGGGGAGTCCTGGCAGTGACGCTTGGAGTGTTGAGTTGTGTGTGTCCTACCCTCTGGGTTTGTCTAAATATGACTAGATGTGACTCCCCATTTTTCCTTTACCAGCAAGGAAATCTTGGTCCCTGTTAGCAGTGCCTGACAGCTTCCTAGGAAGGCTCTTGGAAATCTGAGTCAATGGAACAGGCGAAACCTTTAAGTCAAGAGGGCGAGTCCAAAGGAGGTACTGTATTTAAATGGTTGCGCCTACCTGCTGCTGCCCAAAGGTGACCCCCAGGCTCAGGGCCCTTTCCTCCTAACGCTTGTGCAACCTGTCCAGTTTGGGAGCAGAATAGTGAGAGGAGCTAATACGAGCATGCGCCCATTGCGCCTCACAGGTTTTGCGGTTTTTGCAAATTGAAGGTAAAACCCTCCACCTGCAAAAAGTTAGGACTCACTTTATTGCTTGACCTGGAACCGAGCCCACTACCTGGAGGCATACCCGTATTGAAGACTTACTTAAAGGGACAGACAGCTACCGTCAGGGAAAAAATGCTTCACATATTTCTAGGCCCCTGCCCCTTTTTAAATCGATAGTTTGCATTCATAATATGCTCAGTGTTTCTACTCAGAGCTACAGTTTGGGCCAGTGAGGTCTCTCTCCCTCTTCCCAGGATTTGGGGGGCCGTGTATGCATTACTCCTGTGGAAGAGGCAGTGCAGGCAGTGGCTTTGGCGTTGGTTAGGTTTGGTTTGAGTCCTGGCTCTGCTATTATAAATACTGTGGCTTCGGGCAAGTTATTTTACCCTTCTCTGCCTCCGTTTTTTCACCTGGGAAATAGAGGTGAATAACAGCGTTGTGGTGCAGTAATACAGGTGTGGTGCACCTGTACTGGTTCTTAGTCATTCTCCAGGGAACTGAAATTTGCCTCAGTTTCTTGCAAGCAGTGAGCTTGTTTTCCTCTCTAATACCCGGTAATATTTGTGGACAGCTCCTTTTAGTTTGTGTCATGATGGTCCTGTACTAATATTTTTCAGAGCTTCAAAGAATTACACATTTGCACTTTGAGAAGATATGCTTTAAAAAAACCTACATTTTAAAAAACAGTTTCTGAGAAGTTCGTGAGTTTGATGACTATGTGTTTTTTTCTGGGTTATTATGATCATGGATTGAGATTAGCTGTATTCAGATAATGCTCTTTTTGGACATTGTCCTGGTTAGGGACGGCCTGTTTGTACATCAGTTTTCAGGCTAAGAAGTTGCTGAGCTTTGGCTTCTGGTGTCAGTTCTTCTGGTTTTATAAATTGGGGCCAGTGCCTAACGATTAACTGGGCACGACGTTCTGAAAAAAGGGTCACCCTTTGTTCTTCTCTGAAATGCTTCATGTGGCCAGAGTTAGAAATCCTTGATTTCTTGAGAAATTCTCTTTACTTTCTTCAGGTGTTCTAGCTCACTTGGAAAGACTAGAGACTAGATCTCGTAAAAAATTTGAAGAGCCACAGGAAGCACAGGCAGTGGAAAGCACTCTTGGAAGCAAGATTCATAAACTGAGAAATCTGCGAGATAAATTGAGGGCTGAAGTGAAACGACGTCAAGCCAGAGTGAGTACAAGGGTGATTGTCGGCAGGTTTTCCTAAGGTGTAAAGAGCATGATCTGGGAATTCGCAAATTTGTATAATGTGTTTTACCTGTGATCTTAGTGGATCGATTTCAGTCCTTGATCCCTCATGAAACCTGTAGAGTATCAGCTAATATCAGTGTCAACTAACCATTGTCAGGCATTATGATGGCCCAGGCAAGTTCTTCATAATAGTCTTTTAACTTGCCCTCAGACATGAACCTGTTGCCCCAGTCTCATCCTGACTTGATTCATTGGTATTTTTGTCATTAGTGCCATTTTTCTGTTACCCAGACTTGGCGCCTCACAGTAAACTTTGACTCTTTCCTCTTTTCAATTTTCTGTCTAGCCGAGTTCCACCAGCAAGAACTGTGAAATTTTCCTTTAGATAGTCTTTGTGCTTTCTCCTCCACTCTATTGCAGTCGCTCAGGTATTGTCCACATCTCTTACAAATATTTATCAGGTTATTTGGATGTCAGTATTGTTGTAATAGTCTGCTACTTCTCTTCTTGTATTTGTACTACTCCAGTAAATCCTGCACAGCCAAGAAAATGCTTTCATAAAACACTGCCATTTCCTTGCTCAAAAACCTTCACTAACCATTCATTGCCCATGGGATATAGTCAGCCTTCCTTCTTTTTCTCACCTTCCCACTTCTTTTCCATTTCCCCCTTTACTCCTTTCTCTCTCTTCCTCCCTCCCTCCCTTCACTTTTTTATTAAAGTAAAAAATATATGTAAATAAATATAAAGTGCACAAATCTGCAGAATCTTTTACAAAGTGAACACACCCTGTACACAGATCAAAGCAGAGAATATCGGTGTCCTAGAAGTCTCCCTCTTGTATCCTCCCAGTCATTTCCCTCAAGGTAACCACTATTCTGATTTCTGTCATCATATGTTGGTTTTACCTGGTTTTGAACTTCATATAAATGGTAAAAGTATGAAATGCTTATGTCTGGCTTCTTTGGCTGAAGTATGTCTGTGAGATTCATCCATGTTGTTGCATGTAGTGGTCATTCTTTTTTTCATTGCTGTATAGTACTATCATTTTATGAATATTCCATAGTTTACCTATTATGCCGTTGGTGACATTTGGATTAATGGAGCTATTTCACTTTGGGGCTATTAAGAATACTGCTGTCCTGACCAGTGTGGCTTAATTGGTTGGAGCATCGTCCTGTGCACCGAAGGATCACAGGTTTGATTTCCAGTCAGGGTACATATGGGAGGCAACCAATCGATGTTTCTCTCTCGCATCAGTGATTCTTTCTCCCTCTCCCTCTCTCTAAAATCAATAAAAAATACACATATCCTCAGTTGAGGATGTTAAAAAAAAATGCTGCTATGAACATTCTTGTTCCTGTGTTTTGATGTAAAAATATATTTTTCTATTAGGTGTGGATTTGGTAGAATTACTGGGTCACAGGGTATGCATATTAGCTTTAGTAAATACTGCAAACAGTTTTTGAAAGTGATTGCACCAATTTTACATTCCCAGCAACAGTGTACAAGCTTTCTGTTGTTTTGCAACTTTATCACTACTTGATATTGTTGGTTTTAAAATTTTGACATTATAGTGGGTGTGTAATAGTACCTCATTGTGGATTAATTTTCATTTGCCTAATACGTAATGACGGTAAGTACCTGTACTGAACACGTCAGAGTCTTCTGTTGTAAAGTATACTTTTCAAGGCTTTTACAAAAATTTTATTGGGTTATCTAAGTTGTAGAATTCTTTACGTATTTTGGATGTCTTCTTTTTCCTTGGCTTTCAGTCATCGGTTTCTCTTTCTTTACATGCCTAGTAAAAGTTTTTTTATTCAGTGATAAGTATTGTATATGAAAAAAAGTGCCATAATCTCTGCTTAGCTTTTTAACTTTTAGCAGTTTCTTTCTGTTTGGTTCCTCAGTACCCAGTATACATATGCAGTTTAGAAGTTGGCAAATGCCTGGGAGGTACATTGCCTAAAGAATGTTGGGTTGTGTTTCCTATGGGATCTTGGCCCTTAGAAAGACTGCTTTGGTAACCCTGGCCTCCAGTTTTTGTCTCGGTGAGACTGCTACAAAGTGTGGCCTAACAGCTTTCTATGTGGCCCATAGGCCTTGTGATTCAAATCAAATGCTTGGAGGGAGAAGCTATAAGCCCAGCCAAGCTCAAAGCACTTACCTTTAACCTTCAATTTGGCTATTTTGGTGGCTGTGTAATTTCTTCAGAGCATTTTGTTTGTTTGCTTGCATGTTTGCTTACTTGGTTTTGGAATTTCATCCAGGTTGTGTAGTTCTCAGAGGGAAAGTTAGTCTGAGACCATCTGTTGGGCCATAGTTCTAAGTGTACATCTTAGAGTCAGTATTTCTTACCCTGGCACTTGAAAGCTTGCACAGTTTGACCCAAACCAACTTTCTAGCCTTGCCTCTTAGCAAGTGTTTGGCTCACCCTGTGCTCATACTAGACTTTTTTCACACTCTTTTTCTTTCACCTTGCACAGTACTCTTCAGACCAGCACAGTTTCTGCTTCTGATTCCTAACACTGTGACCCGCAAGATTCTTCCTCCACTTACTGTGAATTCGTGGCACTGTAGACACTGTAGCATTTCTTCATTATGTAATAAACACTGCATTCAGCTTTATTCCAGTTAGGTGAGGGCAGAGACTTTGTGTTATGCCCCTTTGTACCCAGTGTGATTTGCCGCCTATCTTTCAGGTTGAAGCCAATGTAGAACCTGACCAAACGTTTGAGGTCAGTGAGCAAGAAGTTTTGGAAAGAAAGCGGGAAAATGTGAGAGCCATTCTGCAAGCATATCGTTTTACAGGTAGACCTTTTTCTGACCTATTTAGTCTGGGTCTCTTGTCTCTACTGAGTTAGTTTCCTAGGTGTATTACTTGTTCTGGACTTACTTGAGCATTGGTTTTGGCCCCTCAATACACACACAAAGCTGGCATGCTGTTTGTAGGCATCTTTACCTACAATATTGGCCTCTTTGTGCAGCAGATTGATTGGCAGTTGGTTTCAACTATACATTTTCGCTATTCAGCGTGTGCCAGATCCTGTACTAGAGCTTGCTTTACTGCTGGCTTGCTTTATGCCACTGGTCAAATACTTTGAACTGCTCAAGTCTGTTTCACCATTAAAATGGGGATTTATTCTCCCCGTTATCTGTCACAAGAGGATTGTGGGAAGAACTGGGGACTATCGTAAATTATGTAACACTCAGAAAAAAGAGAATAGATAAATTGAAAATTTCAAAGTCTCTTCCTCAATAATTTTATATTTAGGATTTTTTTCTTTTCCACCATTTCATCATTTTAATTCAAACTCAAAGTGTGCCAGAATTAACAACAGGAAAGAGTGTATGATATTCACTTGTTCAACAAACATTTGCGCTTAGGCTGTGTATGCTAAGTCATGCTGGGGCAACTGGGATGCCCAGATGAGGAAGACACCGCTTTCCCTGACAGCTGTTGAGGGATGTTATCTTGTTCACCTCAGGGCTCAGTGGAAAACTGACCAGTCGAGGAGTCTGTGTTTGCATCAACACTGCTTTTGAGGGGAACCTGCTAGATTCCTATTTCATGGACATTGTCATACAGAAACCACTTCGGATACATCGCCATTCGATTCCAGTCTTCATTCCCCTAGAGGAGATATCTGCAAAATACTTACAGACTAATATTCAGCACTTCCTGTTCAGTCTCTGCGAATACCTAAATGCTTACTCTGGGAGGAAGTACCAGGCAGATCGACTTCAGGTATCTGTCTGGAATCTTACATAGCATTTGATGAGCCCAGGATAGGCTTCAAAGGGGGAAAAGGAGGTCAGGTTTTCTTTTGTATTTTAAAATGTTTCATAACTGAGTCAGAAGTTTGACTGTTATCCTTCTAATGCTTATTATTTACATACAAGCTATTTTCTACTCTTTTCTTCCCTGATGAAACTGGGTGATGTCAAAGCATGAATACTGGTTAAGGGATTACTCCCTCCCCAGTGGTTGTCTTCAGGCTTTTATATTTGACCTTTCCCCTCTCAAAGTAATAGAGTACACATGGTATACTGTTAATTCAGCAAGGATTGATAGAGCACCTACTATGTGCCAAGTGCCTTGCTGAACCTGGGGTATAGGTGCAAAGCAGAATAATGCTTTCTGAAACATCACAGAAGAATACTGTCCATCTTTGCATGAACTCTGCCCTACCTTTTTAGGGTTACAATTGAGCTAGGTTTGCAGAGGGGGGAACAGACAAGAATGAATGCAGTGGGGAATGAGTGACACTCATAAGCTTCGTGTTTCCCCCTCAATGCATTTGGAAAGACATTGAATTTCCAGGTTTTCATTTAGATAAATTGGTATGTGTATGCAGACACAAAGCATCTTAGCCATGTATATGATGTCAACGAAATTCTTGGCAGAAATAGTATCTCCCCTGTACCCTGGACCCCTGGCCATTTACTTAGTAAGTGCTTCCTGCAGGCCTCCTTAGGCTGCCACTGACTCTTAGTTATACTATAAATCTCTATCATTAGTCCTTATAGGCCTTTCTCTGTCCTTTATTCCTCTGAAATTTAATTAATGGGGCCCTATTTTGGGTAGACAGTGTTTGAAGTGTCACAGCCACTTGCTGCCTTTGGAGCTGTAATTGTCTATACTTTGTGTCTGTTTTGACCCCACCTCCATTAGAGTGACTTTGCAGCCTTGCTGGTTGGACCCTTGCAGAGAAACTCACTGTGCAACCTGCTATCATTTACTTACAAAGCAGAGCTGAGTGGCCAGTCCTTCCCATTTTGTGCTAGACTGATGTATAAGGATATCACAAGAACCCTTCCAACTGATGTTACTGTTGCTTATGAAGGTAAGAGGAAGATTACCTCAGTGGAGAAATAAATAATAAGCTCTGGGTTACTTAGGTTGAGTGAAACAGGGTAAAATAGGCAGACGTAAGTTGGACCTCTTGAGACACTTTCTTCTATTTATACATGATAAGCAGAAAAATACAAAGACAGTAAAATTTGTTTCTACCAATTTTTTCTCTTCCTTTGTAAGTAGTAGATATAATCATAGTTTTCCCTCCTCCTCTGCTCCTTCCAACTCAGCCAGTGTTTTTTCAGCTTATAATTTGTTTTCATTAGAAACTGCTCTTGAAGAGACAGCTCATGAGGCTGAGTCATAGGGTCAGAGTGGTAAAGAAAGCCAAAAGACTCATTTCACTCTGAAGCCTAATGGACATAAGTCAGTATACATTGAGCTCTCTAGAGACTATTCTCTAAATGGGGAATTTTTTAGAACTGGCTGAGATTTTGTGTGTTTGTGTGTGACCTTGTTTCAGTTAAGTGTGCCATAGTAATGTGACATGGGCAATAATGAAGAATAAGATAAAATGCTTTTAGGGGGCAGGAATTTTGAAGCTGCCACAGGTTTCATACCATAGGTTTTTAGTTTTGTTTTTTTAATCCTCACATGAGGACATGCTTATTGATTTTAGAGAGGGGAAGGCGGGGAGAAACATCGATGTGAGAGAGAACATCAACTGGTCGCCTTCTGCACAAGCTCCCCACCAGGAATTGAACCCACAACCTTTGGTGTATGGGATGATGCTCCAACCAACTGAGCCATACCGGTTGGGGCATACCATAGGTTTTTGATTTCTCTAGGCAAAGTCTATTCTGAGTTCCCCATCTAAAAATTACATTGGTCCACCCTGACCAGTATGACTCAGTGGTTAGTGTCTGGCCATGCACCAAAGGGTCATGGGTTTGACTCCTGGTCAAAGGCACGTACCTCAGTTGCTGGTTCGCTCCCTGCCCCCAGTCAGGGTGTGTGTGAGAGGCAACCATTCGATGTGTCTCTCTCACATTGATGTCTCTCCCTCCCATTTTCTCTGAAAAGAAATGGAAAAAAATACCCTCAGGTGAGGATTAACCAAAAAAAGTTACCTACATCCAGAGTACCAGTGATCAGGTTCTGATTCTCCCAATTGCACTAGATGAGACTGATAGAGTCTTTCTTAGGGACTGACTCACTGTCTGCCTCATGGGAAGAACAGCGGGCCACCCATGAAAACCTGTTCCGCACAGAGTCCCTACATCACGTGTTTGCTGCATTTGCAAGAAGAGAAGAGAAGTTGGACATGAGCCTCGTCCACTAGGATATTATTTTCATTAAAGAACACATCAAAAGTGAGTAAACGCGTACTATACACAGTCCCAGGCAAGGTCACAGGACTGAAAACTGTTAAAAGGCTCAGACTCCTTGCCTGGGAACATCCTTGCCATGGAGACAGGCACCCACCTCATCAGGACGATGAAGGGGCAAGTTTGAGTGTAGACATTGGCATTTTGGGACCTTTCTCCATGACTGCCTGGTCACTTGTTAAATGCTCAAGATCATCAGTTCTTGGAGATAAGTGATTTGCCTGTACATTTTAGCTGAAAATCGGGTCAGGTTGTTGTAGGGCAGTAGAAGGCATTTTGTGAAAGAGGAGTGTGTACTATTCAACCGAAGAGTATTTCTAGCTTTTCTAAAACTTTAATTCCGCCTGATTTTCCTGAGATGTTTGAAAGTTCTTAGAGTGTACTCGGTTCATGTGAGGTTAATCACATAGTTAAGAAGGGATGTGTGTTTAGCCTTTGGTTTGGAGCAGTGTATTCTAGATCGTTGCTTTTGAAGAGTGGTGTGAGAAAGTACTATGGATAAAATAATCGGGGTTCTCTAATATTTTGAGTAGAGAGCTGTTTTAGTCAGCTGCCAAAAATCGTGGTCAGAAGTCTGCTCATAAAGGGAAGCAGACCTTCCTCCATCTCCTGCAAGCTGTAGGCCATGGCTATGCGTTTGTCTTCTCCATATCCTGGCCCAACTGCATACCATTTTTCTGTATAACTGTCGCCTTGGATCTGCTGGCACTTTCCTTGGCTTAAGGGAGTATGTGTAGGGCCAGTTTACAGATGAGTCTAGTTGGCCAGGTCCTGCCGTTTCAATCCCCCTTTGGCCAGTCACAAATAGGAGTCATTACTACCCAAGGCCCACAGCTGTATTTGGGCCTCACTCACTTTAAAATGGTCACTTCTTAGACCTGACTGGTGACCAGGAAGTAACCTTACTGGTGTGGGGGCTCCAGCTAATTGGGAGGAACACAGGACAATGGTAAAATCAGCTAGGACCACCATTTAGAAGAAAGCAGCTTAGGAATAAGAGATATCTTGTGCCTTCCAGGCATGTGGTGAGGACTGTGGTGAGTTTGCAAAGCACTTCGAGGAGAGGTAGTAACAGGATTTTCACAATGATCACACCCAAGTTGAAGAAAGCTTTTAATAAAACAGTCTTGTTCTTTATCAATACCTGTAAATTCTCTTTTAAAGCAGTAGCAAAGGCGACTGTAGCAAGAGCTCAAAAGGCAAGGCAATATCGGAAAGTGTTTTTTAACAGAAAGTTAAAAATATAAATGTAGAAGATCTGTTGATATATTTTTCTTTCAGAAATAAATTCCCTTTCCCTCCCTCCTACCAGATAAAAGGAAATATTGCACTTTCTGCTCTCATGACTAAGGTGACAGGGGTTCCAGAAGAACCTTTCAAGATTATCAGGACGAGGGCCCTTTCCCCTAACTCAGACCATGTGGAGATGGGGAGGTCTCCAGCTGTGTGCTCTCCATAATAAAAAAAAAAAAAGTACTGCTTTCAAGTTACAGATGAGAGGAGGCATTCCCAGCACAGTGGTCCCACCCTGCAAGTCCTCATCAGCTGAGCTTCCCCACCTGTGCTCCAGTGGCAAAGGCAAGTGTGTCCCACCTCTGATACATTCCTGTTCACAGTAGCCATGGCCTCTGTGGGGGCAGAAGGGCTGGTCAGAACTAGGGCTCTGGAAGGATTGTCCCAGAACTATGCCTAAGGCCCTTACTCTTTGGGGAAGCTGTAGGCACACTGAGGAATAGTGTGGCCACCCTCAGAGCTCATGTCCACAAACAGGTGACAGCTTGAGGAAGTTTTTAAACCTAAAGTCTATGTGAGTGTGTACTTCAACAATTTGGGAATGTTGGGACTTGGTCATTTGTCCTTTGATTCAAAAAAATACATTCTCCCTTCCCATTTGAACTACAGTGGGGCTAGAGGCCATTCAGGAGTTGTCTACTACCTGGTGGGGCAGGGTCACAGAGGACCCATTCGGGAAGGTGGCTGGCTTATCACGCCCCTTCAAGAAAAAAGTTAGCAGCTCCCCCTTCCCTTTCACAAAGATGGGCCCTCGCCTCACAAAGCGGAAGCCGTACTCTCGAAGGATGGCTTGTGTTTCTTCTACCACCTGTAGAGGGAGCATACAGTACAAGAGCTTGGGGTTAGACAGCGAGCCTAGACCGAGGCTACCCAGATGGTACCCACATATGACCCACAGGTCCCAATCCACCCTTCTCCAGACCTCCCAGGGCCACTCCATGCACCAGAGAGGAGCAAAACACACAATATAGGGTGCTTTGTCTGGGTCCCTCCTCTCTCCCAAAGAGAGACAGTCTAGTGCTCTTTCTCCTCAGACAGCCTATGTGGCAGCACCATTGTTTGGGAACTTTTACTCCCTACTCTTTGCCCCTTTTGTGCACTTTCCTGCCAAGCCCAGCCAACAAAGATCAAGGTGGCTTCAGGGGGGAGTTACTAGAGGCACAAGATGTCAGAAAATTCATATCAAAAGGCGGGATATTATTACCCAGACCTTGTTCCTAAGTTTTGCAAATGGGGTTGAAGTCTTTTCTCCCTTCTATTGCAGTGAGCCATGGAGACATCTTTCCCCACTCTTGCCCTTAACTCTCACAGCACTGCTGACTTAAATGTTCTAGGCCAATGAAAAGGGGACAGTGCCCTGCAGAACACGCACTATTCCCATTTTGTTCCCTGCATCTGAACATGTGTTCGACTCTGTTGCTGGACTGACCTGAATGTTGCCCATGACCCCTGTAGACTCCATCCTGCTGGCTACATTGACTGTGTTGCCCCAGATGTCGTAGTGTGGTTTCCGGGCTCCAATGACTCCAGCCAGGACCCCTCCTTTGTTCATGCCTAGGGTAGAGGCATAAAGTTCAGCACAGCCACACCCCAAACCTTCTCTCAGAAGCTATCAACTCCTCTTACAGAATTTGTTACCTGACCCCTACCACAAAGCACCTAATTATATAACATTCCTCAGTAAGCTTGTCTCATATTTGTCCTGCCTTCACCATGTGCTTGGCAAATTGTCAACTACCCTCAATATGCTGATTAACTTAGTACAGAAGTTGCCAGTGTCTAACACACCACACACCTGGTACTATAAGTCTCCCATGATTTCATCAGGAGTGAGCCGCCCTCCATTCCTAGTAGTGGGTAGCAGGTGACTAACTCGTAACAGGCTGGACTGAGGTGAGCAAAGCCCTCAGCAGGTGTAGATTTCTTAGAAAGGTAGACAGCAAGCTGACTTCCCAACCATGTTAGGAAGGAAGCTATCATTGTAAACACTGGGACAGGGCTAGCTGACCATCAGTCAGGCTTTTAGTCTGATCATCTAGAAGAGCCTGGACTAAAGGTCCTTAAGGTCCCTTCCAGCTCTATGAGTATATGACCCTCCCCAACCTAAATGCATCAGGGTTTTCTAATCCTCTCATCCTGCCTGCTGATTGCTGAGTCCCCTGTGTTAGAAGGGAGCCTAGAACCTTACCTATGCGTAGCATGAAGTTGTTGAAGGACTGGTTGTTGATGTTCGTAAGGGTATCCTTCATGGCTAGTGCAAAGTCAGCCAGGTCAGCCAGGTGTTGCCAGCGCTCCTTTTCTGACTTTTCCTCCTGTACCAGAAAGCATCAGGAGCAACTCTGAGCCCATAACAGCAGCAGCCTACTCACCTTCTTTCCTAAACATGCTGGAGGTCAGTCTCTTCACCTGGTTGTTAAAGGCCTATTCGCTTTTTTCCACAAAGGAGTCAGCACCCTCTTGTCACTGTGACAGAGACTGGGCAGTGGTGGTGGGGAAGACAAATCCTACCCAGCCCATCTGCTTCCTATCTGCAATGTGTCTGCTCAGGAGTCATGTCTCTTCACCTTTTCTGAACCTGGTCTTTAAACTTGGGATAGTTGTCCTTTTTTTGATTCCCCAACTAGATTATAAGCACTCAAGGGTTAGACGTGTTTTTTAATCTCATCCATATGATGGAGATGGTGGTTGTAATAAAATGGAATGATGGTGTTTTGAGAACAGCACTTGAGACCAGGGCCCCACAGCTCATTTCCTCTGCTTCTGGTAGCTAAGTAGAGCTGGCTTCACAGGTCTGATTTAACATAACAAAATCACCTCCCTGATGTAGTGTTTTCATTGTTCCATAGTTGTGTAGATGCTCCTGTTGCCCAGTTCTTATGAAAGTATAGAAGGGAGCATGGCCACAGTTCCACATAGCATCTTATTGCCACCTAAGCTGTGGAACAGTAGTCGGCTGCTGGGTGTGGCTGTTGTCTCTCTGCTCATTACACTTTCTCAGTAAACCCAATCTTAAATTTGCATCGCTCTGTCCTAGTGGTATGTGTCTGTACTAGTACAAAGCACCTTTGTACATAGTGCTTAATGTTAGCTGCTCTTATAACTTCTGGTTTTCCACGTGTGGGCTGCCTCTCTCTTGCCTCAGAAGGCAGAGCCCCATCTACTCTCTAGTCATTGAGGTGGTTAGGTACCTTGTTGGAGCTGGTGAAGCCGTTGGTGTTGACATCTGGGGTGACTCCTGAAGCTGCCATGTAGGTACTGCCAATGGTTTTGATCTTGGTGATGACCCGGAATTTGGGATTGTCTAGAAGCTAAGGGCAGTATTAAGGAAAACTGTCAGTCGTCAATTAAGATGAATGAGTCAACTGTAATGACAGATTTGCCTATCTACAGTGACCCCCACAGAACATCCAAGAGATAGTTTTTTTATAAAAGCTTTATTCTGCCACTTATCTGCCCCGTGATTATAGGCAAACTTCCTGATTTTCTGAGCCTCAGTTTCTACAACCTGAACGTTGGGATAAAATTGCCAATCTCCTAGGGTGGCTGAACATGTATGTAAAAGCATTTCCCTTGATGTACAAGTTACCTAATAAATGTTTAATGAATCTGAATTTGAAGGTAGGGGGAATCAGAGGGACCTGGGTGTCTTGTTCTGGCCAGTCTTTATCCTGTGAACTTGCAGGTGATTTCCCAGGCTCCCATGTCACCCCCTCAGATCCAGCATTTCCAGATGGCTACAGAAGCTCATACATTATAGGGAGGGGCTTATATGGGAAAATATAGTAACTCCAGCTTCTCTTTACTTCTGCAGCCTGTCCTGAGATGTAGTTTGAAACAAGCTGGCTTTGTGGCAGGAAAGGGAGCAGGATGGGCACTCACAGAGTCAAAATCTGAGATGATCTCGTTGAGGAAGCGCAGACACTCAATGCCACCATTATTGATGCTCTCCTCTGTGTAGAAGTCAGCAAAATTGGGCAGGGAGGCAAACATAACTCCAATCTCATCATAAGACTGGCTATACAGCTCCTGAAAAGAGGAAGGGCCAAAGTGCTCAAAGAAATTCAGATTAAATAATGTGCTACAGAAATGAATTTATCTTCCACACCCATGACAGGTACATTCAGCTTTGGGGGACACATCTCCCAGATTATCCCAGCTCTGAATTATTAGAAAGCTCTCATCACAACTTTGACTACATAAAAAAAGCAGCTTCTCTAGTCCCTTTAACAGCCTTAGGTTTGAGAAAGGGTAGAGTGGAGTTGGGAAATAAGGCATAAGAAGCATTCTATTTGAAATTGCAGTTGGCGGAAGGACAGACTCTAGCCAAAACTTCATTTACTGAGATGGGACCTCATGGAGATGTGTGTCCCCCAGAAACTTGATAGGTCCCACTGCCACGTCTTGAGAAGGCCTGGCTTCAGAGGTGCTCCCTGGCAGAAAGCCAGAGGAAGACACAGCTTCATGGCTCCAGGCCACAGCATGAATTCACCCCTCACCTCATCTCTCTTCTTGGACCCCAGGAAATGGCGTGCCACATGCTCAGGCAACATGTTGGTGACCAAGGCCTCATTCCAGCGTCGCATCTCGTAGACACGTTCTTTCTGGTCATGGACCTCAATCTTCCACAAGAACAATGTCCGTGCCAGTTTTTCCACCTACGGACACAAGCAAGGTGTATGCACTAAACTGGCCATTTGATGGGAAGATGAAAAACGGGAACTTGAGGGTGGAGGGATTCCACATGGAAAAACGGAGGAAGGTGGCTACATGGCAAGGGAAAGAAGACCCAGGAGTTCTAATCCACCGAATCATAAAGGCAACCCCACAGCTGCAGTGAGGATCCCAGCCCTGTGGTTACAACAGAGATTGAAGGGCCTTCTGGATGTGGTAGGTAGAGTTAGCTACCTAACTGTAGCTACAGGTCTGACTTATGGGTGGTGGCAGCAATGGGGATCTCCTAGCCCAGGGAGGAGTCCCATTTCCAGCTGGCCAAGAAGTGGCTTGGAAAGGCTGTACTTCCCCTGGCCAACCACTGGGTGGCACTTGAGCTAACACAGAGCAGTAATTCCCTTGCATGGGTACTTCCCTGCCCTCATTCTTCCCCTTCCTCCCCCCCTTTTAACCAAACAAAAACTTCATCAGCTCTTCCACTTTCTCTTCTGGCTCTGTGGTCCAGTGTG